AAATCTGGACGTTTTGTAAACGACTAGCCTTTTCATGAATAAAACAGAGTAAAAAATCTTCTTATTCTTCTCCAAAAGTTCTTCTTGTTTCAAAAGTCTTTTGTCACCTCTTTCGCATGCAAAGGACCTTATCATTCCCAGGGCATCAAATAATATCATCGCGATGATTCACACGGTTTTGTACTTGTATGGGATGTTTGAGTCACGAAAATGGTGTTTTGTGTGTACGCTCGAATGAACTTTTATAGATTCTGGTTGCACCGCTGCTGTTCAATCGGCAAAAAGATCTTCAATGTACAGACTGTATTGAACAACAACGATCTTTAATGTTCAAAATTTCTATTTTAATCGAGGGCATCTTATCGTCTACAAAAATATGTGTATATGGATGTAATCCTCGACTACACCTTTCAGTCTGTTCGGTGTCACAGTAGGTATACTGTGAGCTCATATCTCTGCTGTATATTCTTCGTTTTCGTACAATCTCAGTATAATAACTTATTAGGTTGAGTAAAACGTAAGTTTGGTTGGCATACAAATTTTCATTAAAAAATTTTCTTGTTGTTTTCTATCTATGATTCTGTGTAGGAAAGTAGTTTAAAGCTTCCTCTATCACGTATCAAATTTCAGAACTTTAAGACAGTTATGCCTCAACATGGCTAAATGTTTCAAAAGCTCAATTCTTAGGTATCGTTTTCGTGGTTTAAAGGATGTAGAGAACAGCATTCTAGAATTTGGATACAGAGGAGTTTTCCCTATTGAGTGAATAACAATGTAAGTCTGTTACCTTGAAACCCTGGAGAAACCAACTTCCTCGTGTTTGCGCACTATGAGAAAATTGGGGTTTCTCACTTCTTGCGGATTATTCTCCCTAGAAGATAAGTTCTATTCAAACAGAATTTGTACGTCTATTCCCATTAAAGTTCTTTTCCCAAAGATATCAAACACTGACAAAAATTTGTTTGCAGAATTTGTAAGCCGCAAAAGCAATCGAACTCATTCATTAGCCAATTTAATAGTAAAGAAAAAGCGTGTCGTTGAGATGGATGAGATGTAATGTTATTTTATCCCCATTAATTTTTTTCTCTAATCCATCATGCGACGCTTCAAAGTACATTTTTTTATTGCACTTCTGCACAAAATCCAGTTTTTTCGAAAACGATCACTGCTATCCGAGCCCATCAAAACGAGCCTTGATCATTTCTTGATAGGACGCCCATCCCCTTCATGTCAACATCTCGCCTATAAAATAAAAAAAACGAGTTTTTGTTTTCCACGATCTCAGCCAATCTTTAGTGCTCGTAAGCTTTTGTGCCAACTAAGCTGACTGGAGTAGTTTTTCGTGGACAGCTGCGATAATCAACGCCCCGAACTTCTCCGACAAACGACAAGCCCCGCCGATAAGATAGCGATTATCGTAATAAGAGGGCTATCCCAAGCTGGTATCCGTTCGCATTTCTTTCTTGGGTGGAATTCCTTGTCTTAGGGATGCTAACATTGCTTGAAAAGCTTCTCAATCGCACTTTCATAGGGTAGAATTCCATTCTTGCGTTTGCTTCTTCGTAGATCTCGTACTTCTCGTACTGATATTCTTCAAAAATTTCGTTAGATTAATTTAGATAGTTTATTTTTTGGGACTCGCTCCGATTTATCTGAATTTAACTGTGAGAGGACGCTTAGTATTTATTTACATGGGAATAAAATTCCAACAGAAGCTTGAAGTGACTTATATTCTGACCGTTTTCCTCACGTTACATGAAAAATGCAAGATCTTTTTGTGCGCAAAATCTCTCAGTATCCATTTTGACTGTGAACACCCCATTTTTTCCGTTCATAGTTCGATCGTACGTTTGATTGCACGGCAGCTTACTATCTTATCACTACGAGATTAATCTTTGTTCTTTGCTGGTGCAAAAATATGCGCTGCAATGCTTGTACGTGGTGCCACCTGGCCATACTTTTTTTGCCAAAAATGAATTTTTTTGTTGCCTTTTTTTTGCCATAAAGCTCTCCATTGTCTTCAAATAACTAACAAACAGGTTTAGTTCGCGAAACTAGCAGTGTAGTTGTCAGTTTCGATTCTGTCTTAGGAGACAAGAGATGTTTGCTGTGATCGAGAACTTGGGCTAGTTAGCCGAAAATGAGGATTTTGAATTTCTTTTGTATGTTACGCATATAAGATGAAGCCGAAAGTCAAGATGACTAGGTGGGATTAGTAATTTTCGTATCGACTTCAAGTTTCATTTCGCTGTATAAAACGACATAAATTCATATTCAGTGACACTTCAAGGAAGTTTTCGGCAAGATTGGGGGGGGGGGGGGGAGGATATAAAAAATTTTCCCGAATGTTCGACGTTAGCCCTCCCCTCCCCAATTTTTCAGTTTCAATTTTTCAATTTTTCGTCTTCGCATTTTTCGCGAGTTTGTAACCCGCTGTCTTAAAAGTAGAGAACTTGTATCTCAATCTCCATAAAACTTCTACTTCGATTATGAGTGAGCTAAAAACCTACTACGCTATTAATTTGTGGACAAACAACCTGTAAATGAGAGAAAGAAGATTTTTTTAGTATCGAAACAAAGTGGGCTATACAAATATCATCTACTGAATTTTTATCCCCAATTCTTCTCTTCAATGTCTTCAAAATAATTGAATTTAGTACAGCAGTTCAGTTTGGTGCCTGCACCGCGCCAAGGTTCGTTGTTTATAGCTGTTTGTTTCCTGGTTCCACTTCTCCCTTGGCAGAACAATAGCAGTTGCTAGTTTGCAGTGCCCATCACAAATTAGAACTCCCTCTCCTGCTCCTCTCTTGCTAAGCTATAGTTCACTTTTTCACAGGTTCTTCCTCTGATCTTTTGAAGCTTATCGCCCAAAATTAAGAGAGCGTATCGTCGACTTAGAAAACTTGGTGAATCACTGCGTTATCATATGTTGTAAAATTTTTCTGACTTCTGATCTAAAACTTCCAGTTCCTTGTGTTTTGGTGACAGCCACACCTAGAGCGACATCATTCGACCTTTCTTCGACCCCATTATCAATTCACGCTCAACATGACTTGGAAGAACGCTTACGCATTGAATACAGTTCGCTTATCGCTCTCTTTCAAAGACTGGAGTTTTGGCCGCTATCAGTTTTTATAATCATCTTGAAGATAGACAGTGGTATCGGTGACACGTTCACTTTGTTTTTTTTTTCACATTTCAACATTAGCCTTCAAGAAAATATCCTTTGCAAGAACCCTTACTTTTTTTTGGGGAGACGCGATTTTTCGAAAGGCTACCGATTCAATGGCCCAGTTTCAGTAATACCAGACTTTGTTGTGGCTTATTAACTATTTGAAGCGCAGAAACCCAAAATTCTCCCTCTTTTTTTGCAGGCGAAACCTTTATAATCGAACAGACTCCGATATTTGCTTCAAAATAAAGTGATTTTCAATCTGTGTTTGCTTTGATGTGTCGGCAACTCATTTAGATTTTAGTGCACGTGTCAAAGTTTTTGTCTTTTTTTGGGTTATCTTCATTCAAGGTTCTCATCTACTACCCTTGATTACTCGATTTTCAATGCTGTTGACATACTTCTTATTTGTACTGTATATAAGTTTACACTTACGCCAATTTCTGATGACTGTGGTGGAGCATTGCCAAAATTGTAGTATTCTTGGACCATAAGATATTCAGGATGATTTGCACGAAAATTCGTGTCAGAGCCCAGATGGGTTCAAATTGCTTTCAACGTAAAGTTGGTAAAGAGCCATAGCTTCATGGTAGTAAAACAGTGCAGTAGTCAAGAATATTTGTTGTGGCACAATTACCCAAAATGTCAAATTCATGGCAGAAATATTAGGTCTCCTTTGAAGTTCTGTTCATATTTGGAAACTTGTAAATTTTCGCTATCATGACGATTGGCTTTTTTGATATTTTATCAAAAAGATTAAGTGTTCCTCATTGCGAGGTTATCTTGGCGAGCTGCTATATACGCATTCCAGAGATTAAAAAACGGGAATAGAAGACCACTTATTTCGACTGTTTTGAGTTGGGTCGCCAAAAATTTGGAAGAGATATTTAATCTGAACTTGTCAGTGCTCAAGTTTAATAATTTACTCTTTAAACTGAAAAGAATTTGTGCTATTTAGATGTCCCTGTGAAAAGTTATGATCTTTGTAAATAATAATAAATTAATCAATTTTGGCATTTTCTGATGCGAACTTGAAACTCAAATTTCTTACAAGAACGTCCAAACAGCGCAAACTTTTTTTCAGTTGCAAAGAGTAGGTCTCAAAACTTACGTACCGACAATTTCAAATTTTCCTGCACAGTTCCAGATTTTGACGACTTAACCTAAAATGATCGAAATCTAAATGATCTTCTTTTTCCAATTTTTATCTGTGCAATGAGTGTATAATAGAAGCTCACCAGAATACAACCACAATGAGGGTGACTCCTTCCTTACAATGAAAATTACGAAGAAGCAAATCCGTCTATATAGCGAAATCTAATTAAGACGATAGGAGTTGGGACAACCTGATAATTCATTGGACGTATAACATTCAACTTATCCATAAGGTGACGTCATTTCGGTATATTCCTTATTCCAGACCATCTTTGATGTCAGTAATGCAATCAGCTAAGGCACACATCTCCTTATTCTAATAGGCTAAAAAATAGAAATTGATTGCTAAAAACTTTTAGCATTTTTTCGTTCTCTCTACTAATTGATACAAAGCCAGCTGATTCAAGTTTATCGATTATCTGCGAGATAGAGTGAATATCGCTGGCAGCAATTCGAGAAACAGGTTACTAGCCTAGTTGTTGACCATATTAGTTTCTTCTGTGTGTTTTTTTTGTATCGACATTCCTCATGTAAAGCACAAGCTCTGTAAATATATGTTGAAGTTCTGTTTTGGCTGGTTTCTACAGAGTTCAAGGATTTTATTGTCTAATAGTAAATGAATCGCATATAGAACAATATTTCTATGCGACCTTTTATAATTGCAATTTTTACAGGCAAAAATGGCTCTAGACGTGGGTGATCGAACAGAAGACATCAAGAATAAGTGAGGTTTTTTTACCACCTTCAACCGAAATCATCAAGAAGAAGATATCAATAAAAATTTGTATGATGCCATATTTTTGACTTTGGTAAATTTTTCTGCCGTTCTAGTATATTGTCTTTGAGTATCTTTTTTGGAACTCCATGAAAAGGTGCTCAGACGCTAATTCTATCGTAACTATCAGCTTGATCAGACTTTGACAAAAATTTTCGGTTACGAAAATTACCAAATGTATCCAAAATAATTGAAATATGTAGGTTGTCCCAAAAAATGAATACTGTTTACTTGTCAATAACTTTCTCGCTTAAGTGCCTTCCGCCGATCATTAGGCGCCATTCTTTTGAACTGCCTTCAACTTGAATTTACCACAAAACATGTCACCGATCCCTTCTAGTTACTGTAAGATTACTGTAGGGACAGAACACAAAACCATTGAGAAATAGGCCTTTGTCGAAATTTTGAAAAGAAATCTGAATAATTGTCTAGCAGGCTTTTCGCGCGTGCTATCATACTACACAATATTTTCCGAGTTTCTTGAGCCTTTTAGATGGGTGATCATAGTCCTGACGAACATTAGAGGAACGTTTGTTATTGTATTTTTTATTGACACTTTGTAGATGTTCTTTGGTTACTCTTATTCGTTTTTGCTTATTGATGATCACATTGCTATGTTAGTTTATAATTAGAATGTGTAACGATTCTGTAGATTACAAAATTAACAAATTTTTTGAAGTTCTAGTTAACAACATTTGAAATAAACAGAGAAATAAACCAACCATCAAAAAAAGTGTCAATTTTTAGCTAAATAGTCAACTAAGAATGCATAAAAAAGTCTTCAATGAACATTTTGGTATTACTTCTTTCGATTATAACGTGATATCAGTTCATAAGATAGAGTTGTTTATCTATCTTTGTAGTTTTATTGGTACGAAAGGAAAATTCAAAAAAGTTTTGAACTTTATAAAAGAATTTCTTTGCTTTAACTTAATAAATTTAAATAGAATCAAAAACTGTATAAAATTAATTTCTTGATTTTGAATTTATTATTTGTTGCGTTATTTGCTTAACAAATCTTAATTTTTCGTTTTTTAATCATGAGAGAAGCCGGCAAAGTGCAAATTTTATAATCAAAACAGATCGGCATAGCATAGTGTAAGATTTTTCTGTTTGATTTTCTTTCTGGGGCAGAATATGGCTCTCCATAGCCTAAGACCCTTTTAGAAGTTTTTACAGTAATTCTAACTCCATAGCCACGCGCCATGTTTGATCCACTTCATCCACTTCGCTATTGGACAGTTTTCTGAGTTGAGCAATAGCGAAGTGGATGAAGTCGATCAAGCGGATCAAGTGGATCAACTATGGCGCGTGCCATACTGTAAATTTGAGTCGGAGCCAACTCTACAGAATGGTACCTAATCTTCTGCGAAAAGCATCGAAGACAAATGTCCGACGTAAAAAATGTGCATATTTTTTGAGACAACCTGTAATTTTATATGTTTTAGTAATCGCAAAGCAAGCACTGAAGTTCATCCTGCTGTTGCTACTAAGAAGTGCTTTTACTGTGGAAGAGAAGATAAAAAGCCGGAACCACCAAAGAAAAAGACCAACAATGGGTATGTATACAAGAATTCTTTACCACTTTTTTATATCTAAATTTTTACAGATTCTACCTAGGAATTATCATCGGTCACAATATCGACTTGACTATGAGCAGTAGTGAGAGGTCATTTTGCAGAATTTCAATCTGCACAAAATCATGAATTTTTTCTGCTCAGATTTCAATTCAAAAAGGACTATGAAAAATTCAAGCTTCGTTTTACTCTCCTCAATCTATTCCCACTGGCCATCGCTTTTATGTTTCCTTCACGGTGAGTTCAATTTTTAAGGGAAGTTTAGGTGTTAAACTATTAGTGTCATGATTCAAAAATATTCTGATTTTGGAAAATTCGAGAATGCTTTCGCATGATAGAGTGTAGAAATGTTAGTTTCATACTTCAAAAAATATTCTGATTTTGGGAAATTTAAGTGAAATGCTTCCAAATGACAGACATATAATTTCGCCTGTATACTTCTGCCGTTCCAACCATAACCCAATTTTTAATTAGAATTTTAAGGCCCATGGATGCAATTTGCCATTTTCTCATGGTCTGGTACTACTGCACGTTGACTATCCGAGAAAGCATCCTCATTATAAACGGTTCAAAGTCAGCTGATTTTTCTGGATTTATTAGTAATACTAATATTGATTTTGACTTTGATGCACTCTATTTATGATTTTTTAGGCTCGGGGCTTGGTGGGTGGCTCATCACTACCTGGCCTGTGTTATCGGTGGAGTCGCTCTTACCTGGCCTGATGATGCCGCTTATCAGGTTTGTTTTTTGGTTTTTATTTTTCGAAAGTTGAAATCTGATTATGTGTTGGAAGAATAATTTTTCTAGTCAAAATCGAAAAAAAAAACTGCTGAGACGAAAAAATTGTCTTATCAGTTAAGCTGATAATTTTTTATTTTGTAAAATTCTCGCAAATTGTTAGCAATATTTTGCATGCCAGACCTATTTATAACAGCACTTTGTATTAAGCACGTGTTTTTGCAATAACATCTCTATAATGTTAGATGTGGTTCAGTTGAGATAAGCGTTCGTACTTGTTCATGTGATATGAAACAATACACCGTAAATTGAGAATCATCGCTGGCAACCAATTTTTATGTGTCTTTGTGAGGGACTGCAAAAAATCGTATAAAAAATTTCTCCATTGAAGCAGAGCACTAGAGAAGTGTTTTGGTTGAAATTACTGCAGGGTCAGTCAGCTAGTTTTTACCGGAGGGCTCGCTTACACCTAAGACGGGTTCGTTTTTAGTTTCAAGGGTGCAAGATTCTTGAGATTATGTTTTTAGACATAGTACACGTTTTCTATTGTTAATTGGTCTGAGCCTTGTGTCTTGTCGTCTAACACTTGTTTTCTTTCCTTAGGCTGGGGACTGGCTGGTCTCATGCGCTATTCAAACTTTTTTCTGATGTTTTTCTTCATTGATGCTTTTGTGTACTTGTAAAATAAAAATAAAATTATAAGGAGATAATGGATTTTGATGGTAGAATTATTAGCTTTAAAAGCTAATCCACCACTTAGACGTACTCAAAAGCTTACCCCAACATATAGAATTTCTCGATCCCCTTGGATTCACTTGAGCCCTAGACACGACCATCTTAATAAGCTGTCGAGATTGTGCCAAGTAAAAACAGTGCTCAAGAGCTGATTTGTTGGCAAAAGTATAACCAAAGAGTTTAAGAACAATCATAAGGACTCGCAAAAGTTGGCTGTTTGAAAGACATTTATCACTGAACTTTTCTTTCGGTACGGTGAAGATGATTTTTTAGTGTGGAATAATCTTAATCTTTCCAGGCATTCCACACACAATTCGTCCTTTTTGCTGGCTATATTTGCATTTTACAACAACTACAGTACCAATACCAGAGTGGTTGTCTCCGCCGCTTACATTCCTTGGGACATGGCGATTGTATGGACGTTACTCTGGGTACGTATATGAGCCTTCAAAAAAGCATCAAGTTGATTTACTTTGTCAAAGAAGAGTTTTATTTTGATAGAAGGAGTGAGTGTTTTATCTATTAGGTCGTTCCGAAAGTAATGTCGCTTTTTTCAAACGTACGCCACATCTCGTGGAACAAAGATATGTAAGAGATACAGGTAGCATTTGATGCAGCATTTCATTCTCTTTTTAATGGTTATATAATCACTGCACAAAATTCAATAACCTTTCGAAAAACTATAAAAATCTGCGACCCATGGTTTTTGAGAAGGCCAAGTTTCATAATTTTTCTAACTCTTTATAACAGGAAGGAGTCCAAATAATGGATGGATAGAGCAAACCCTACAGGAAACAGCACAAATTTTTTCTACTTTCTACGCTCGTCATAATTTCGTATCGATTTTTTGATGGAACCACCGAAATTTAGCAGGCTGGTCTCAGACACAAATGCATCTAACACCAATAAATCTTCGGATTTGGAAACTTACAAAGTTGGATTATGGTTTACACTAATTTTACAAACCAAATGAGCATTCATCGCCTTAGATTAGCGACTTTCGAAAATTCCAGCTACAGCCTGGGGGTTCCCTGGAAAACTTGACTTATGATGATTTTATCCCGGAAAACTTGATGAATCAAATACAAAAACGACTGATAGAAAGAGGAGAAAAAGCTGCGTCGAGTGACACCCGAGTTGCTTGCCGGTTGTTGTTCCGTGAGGTTTCAGTTGACCAAATATGGAATTTGATGGCATTGAAAAATTGATTCCAGAAACTCTAAGAAGCAAGCTAAGGAAAACAAACAATTATTCTGTGTCCTATAGGGTTTGCTCTATCCACCTGTCACTTGCACTTCTTCGGAGAATAGGCACCCAAGTTTAGAAAACTAGCTAAACTTGACCATGGCAAAAAGCATGAGTCGCAGATTTTGGTAATTTTTCGAGAGCTCATTGACTAATATGAAATGAAATCATAACCTTCAGAAAGAGGATAAAATGCTGCATCGAATGCTTTTGAGAACTCTGAAAATCTTGATTCCCATGAAATGTAGCTTCATTTGAAAAAAAGCGATACTTTTGGAACGACCTAATATTTATTTATTCATTGTGCACAAGGCGTTCCCCATTAAAGAAGACGAAAACACTTAGAACATAAACATAAACAAAACAATAAAACATCATTAACAACTCAAGTCCAGCTCCCAGATAATGTATAAAAATAAAAGGTGTTAAGCTTGTTTAGACCGTGTGAAATTTTTCTTACTTCGGGCGGACGGGGAGGGGGACAATTAGCGTAGTTTCTTTGCTAGGGAAATGTTAAATCGACTGTTCCAGAAGGCTTTGCCACCTGGATGTTCCAAGGACTTACATTCTTGCTTCCATTCCTTTGCGTTGTCTACATATTAGAATTATACAACTCCTACACCTTGTACAGCTTTTGGAAAAGTCACGAGACGGTATGGCAGGTAAGCAATAAGAAATATTGGTAAATGATAATTCCAAATCTATTGCGAACCACCTGCTATTCCAGGTCCCAACCCTTTCACTGCTTTTCTTCATTGTCGGAATCGGCAACATCATCAAGGTTGTGTTCATTGTTTTGAAGAAGATCTCCGAGAGCAAAACGTCCCGAGTAGCAAGAGTGCTGCGAAGGTACCCTTCATTGGCACATCTGGACTGAATCATTTCCTGATTGTCCGTCTGTCATGTCTTCATTTGCTGACATCTAGAGTCTAGAGTGCTGATTCTGCACTAACGTACTTGTTTGGTCATTGATCCATTCTTTAGTGGTGTGTGCATGTCCTATTCTAGAAAAGTCTTCTTATCAAACACCTCATAGTTGCGCGGGTACCTTTGTGTAAAGCTATTCAGTTATTGTGATGCATAAAAATTTGAACTCATTTACGTCTGAAGATATCTCGAATTAGTTTCAAAAGACGATTTTACACCTTGAATGCATCATGCAGCCGATATAAGGTGATGAGTTCTGATGCTCTATAAAGCGGAACTCCTAGCCAAGGTCCATACGCAGGTACCTCCCTCGGAGATCTCCCGAGGACCACAGGGGATTAACTCTCATTTTCATAGTCACTTATCTTCCTGCCAAATGAAAACGCTGCGAAATTTTACTGAGGATATACCACGGCACTGCTTTTGACCATGCTTTCGACAGGAGAAATGGAATCTGAAGATTGATTTTTTGATAATCCCTAGCTCGCGAGCCGTGGTTCATCGAATATCTCACACCCTGAAGTTTCTTATTTTTACTACAAGTTCAGCAGTGCCATATTATCTCCTCAGCACAATTTTACAACATTTTCAGTGAGTTTATAGGAGGATGAATAATCTTGATCCCCTGGGGATCCTCAGGAGATTACCTCTGATTTTCAAAGTCATCTGAGTTCCTGAAAACTTAATGAAAACGCTGTGAAATTGTATGAGGATATACTACGGCACTAGCTGAGCATTAGCAATAGTAGGGTGTTAAGTAAAGAGGGTTTCGCTTGCCTTCTCGTCGTGTTTTTCTTGTAAAATGATTTTGCCTAGGATGTTGTAAATCATTAGTTGGTGCTTCTTCCCCGAAGGTGGGTGGTGGCCTCATATCTTTATATGATACTGAACTATCAGCGACTTCAAAATGAACACCGAAAAATTACACTTGAAGCGCTACTACGATATTGCTGGAAACAAGCTGCAAACGCAAAAAGGCCGCATATGAATTATGTAAAGCTGAAGCTCCTGGTGTTATTTTAAAGTTTCTTGTAGATATGATACTGATATCTACAAGAAACTATCTCATCCTGATACTCAAAGTTCAATCAAAAGGATATGAGCCTTGAGAACGATGTACGTACTGAAAGACCCGTAACCGTAGATTCTGCAGCCTTCATGACTACGTCACCAAAAACCTTGCTACTTCCACATGTACCTTGTCAAGTGAGCTTGGTATGTCCCAGTAAGGCATACTTATAGTCACTTGCACAGACATGAGAAGTCTAATAAAAGCTGCAGAATCTACCACAGAATCTGTGTAGAACATGCACCTTGGGGAGTGGAGGCTTGCAAGCCTTTGCAGTACCCCAATGTTTACCTTTCAAACTGGTTGTGTGTGATGAGAAGTGGATCTAAACCGTAACGTTGACTTAGAAAGCAATGATTAATAAAAAATCAAAGCCCCAACTAATGGTGAAATACGATGGATCTGGAAAAATGGTCATACTTTGCGTCTGGTAGAAGTTTGAAGGTCCTTTCCACTATGAGCTCTTTCTGACGGATGTGGATTAAGCGTGCTCTACTCTCAGCAACTGGTTTGGATGTGTGAAGTTTTGCGCTGAAAAAATCCCGCTCTGATGAACAGGTAAAGTACGCTTCTGCAAAAGGATAACACTTGACCACCACCGCTTGCACTTTGAGGAAAATCGAGGAGCTTGATGGGATTGAAGTGCCTTGCCCCATATGCCGACTTAGCGCATTCGGATATTTGTTACCACTTGTTTCAGTCGAATGGCATAGTTTTAATAGCAAAGCGAGGTGGAAATTAGAACCGGCAAATTTTTCGCATTAAGACCCATAGAGAGAGTACAAGACAGGAATTCAAAAGTTGGTATATATGATAGATTAGAATCACCGATCACCATAATTTACATTTCAACAATTAGACTAGGTCATTATTTTTTGATTATGAATGTGTGGAAGTTTCCATTGCTATTAACCCCCCCCCCCCCACGTATTCAACATTTTATTCTGCACTGTAGCTTCACTTACAGAAAATCCCTTGAACCACACAGTTCCAGAGTTCATTCATGTCCAGCTGATTCTCAATAGATACTTGGCTGAAGCCAAATGCCAAGATTCTAAAGAGCCATCTTGAGATATCTACATTTTTATGTAATCTCAAAGACATTAAGTGTGCAGAGTGTGCACTTGTCAAATTTGCCGAGGAGTTATTGTCAACTTTGTAAATATAAAAACACTTCATAGTCAAGGAAACGGAACATTTGAGAGCAAAGACACTGTTTTTATTTCAGAGTGCATTTCAAATAGAATTGGAACGGACATTAGTCATGGCAGAAAACCTATAAGAAGCTATGCTAGCGTTGAAGGACAAAATATACAGATAGGCGATCAAAAGTTGAATAAAACAAATCAAGCCTTGAGCAACGTAAAACAAATATGTAAATATTAAGTGAGGAGAACAATCAGCTTCCTGGGGTCAAGTTTGAATCGATTTTGGAGATGCATCATGGAGGGAAGGAGGGTGCAAGCAACATCTTCGCTTTTACAAGTCGCGTACTCGCCGTTGCTGGTACTCAAAGGCACGACAATGCTCGAATTTCGCTCCTTTGACGAAATTAAGCGGATCAAGTGGTTCACATTCTCCAGAGCAGGTACGTGGGTAGCACATGAATGAGATGTGACGAATGTCGATAAGCGATGTTAGGTGGAACGTCCCGTAGGTTGCAACCATGACATATTCCATGAAGGCGTAGACTCGAGGCACTGCAATGAAGAGTCGTCCTTATAGGAAGTGCCACAACATATTTTCAGCTTTGACTTTTCCATCACTTTGGACCATTTCCTCATAAACAAAACATGCTGCGAAGCCTCTAATTCCAGAATCCCACTTTTAGAAGCTGAGGAACACTCAAGAGCACCGTCCACTAAAATGTGAGGGGGGGGGATAGAGGACTATATGTCGCCGAAAGGGGACGGCCTCGCGGTTATTTGCAACAAATACGCACCCTTGCACATGCACGGAGGTGCGTTTTTGAAATAACTCCGAGGACGCTCCCACATTTGGCGACATATAGCCCTCCACCCCCGCTGGGTCTACCCGCCCTCATACGGGATGACCCAAAAGTAATGCCCAGAACTGGAATTAAATTCTCAAAGATGTCAAAAATTCATTATAAAAATACGTTCATCCGATCACCGGAATTTATCAAATTTAGGCCACATACCGATGGGCATGGCTTCTCGTTTCGTGACGATTTTGCAGCGGAGCTTAGGCATTTACTCAATTAGGGACCTTACTATTGTATAACATCAAAACCCTCCACCATCAAACTTTGGTGAACGATGCCTTTGATGGGCGAGGGGCTAAGATGTGCACAACCCCAATCTGCCATTGCGATGCGAAATAGCTCGACCGATTACTCTTTTCCCTGATGGACAGATCCAATATTATCACCCACTGAGCTTTCCAATAAAATGCACTTTTGCAAGCTAAAACATCGTGCTGAGGAAAAGGTGTTAAAGAAGAGAATAAAAAGTCGATAACTTGTTCTCTGGCACCCTTGGGATGCCATTTAAGAGTATTCTTTGAAACTTACTGTACGAGAAGCATATAGGAAAGGAAATGGCCGAGTGATGATGCTGGAAGTATTGAGGCGACAGATAGCAAAATGCGCATGAAGTAGCTATCTTTATTACTGCTGACAGATGATCCACCCTCTGAAATGTGGTAGTTGGATGATGATGAGTACCAATGTACTATGATAAAAACCACAAATACTGAATGCTCATAGCTGACAGGGGTCAAATCTACAGTTTTATATCTAAGTAAGTAAAAAAACCAAGCTTCCCAGCTGACTATCAATTTATCCTGCGTAGTTCCACCACCAATACACTAATCCGCAACGCGTCACTTACTTTCGCCTTGAAGTAGATTAAGATGAAGCAAACCTGTTGGGAGCTTTTGCTGAATGAGTATTGAACTGCCGACGTCAGTACCATATTTACGCTAGCGGTCATCACGAAAACTACTTTGCAGAATCTATTTATCTCTGAAAAATCACTGATGTAAAAGATTCAGTATTTTTGGATTATGGACTCACCTGGGAAATCGCTGTGAACAGTGATAATGCTAAAAAGTGACAATGTCACTACCTCTACAGAAGTGAGAAGCGGGAGAAGGTCAACAGAAACTCGATAAAAGAAGGGAAGAACGTCGTATTCAGCCCGTAGCATGTAGCTAAACTTGAGTATCAAAGCTAAGATAAACTAATACTCAATATTGGATATTACATCCAGCAGTAAACTTTGCATTTATTGAGAATATGTCAAATCAGCAGAAAATCGTTTTTCGGCAGGAAAAGCTCGTGGATGCTTCGTAATTGCATGCGTTAAGTTAAAGGCAGTGTCCGAGCAAAAACTCGATTTCTAGAAAATCCACTTAAAGGATGTTCGTCGACGACTGCCCCGACTAGTGTAATCACACCATTGGGCGTGTGCGTCTTTGGATCCTTTCCAGCTCTACAGTACGCTGCAGCGCGCGGGGAACTTGCAGCTCGCAGCATTTCTGCCCTATAACCTTCTCTGTTATTTAAGCGTTTCTCATTTCTTTTTCTTCGTGAAATTCGTTTCAGGCGCCTATTCCTCTATTATTTCAAGCTCGTTCGACCGTTGAATATATCCTACAAGTTCTAGAGTATGTGTCCGTGGCAGCTATGCATGGATGTCTCCGCCACACACGCAGAGCCGCTCGGATTGCCCTCGCAAACTCGAACATTTGATCAACGAGATTCTACATTCTTTTTTGCTATTCTTATCCTTTTCTCATGGGATACGTCCTCTTAATATGGCCAGTGCTAACTTACCGGTTTCGTTCTATGTTGTTGTGCTGTTTGTTGAATCTTTTAAGTCTGGTTAAGTGACGAGCCCGACATTGTGGAATATTCTTAGGTCAAGTTACGTTAGATGGAAATTGTCGGGCTGCATTCACCTGACCAGAATGGAATTCGACAAAGTTATCACCAAAAGATCGGCCATAGGTTGCCGAGAACTGTTGCCAGGTTTGCGATTGTTGACGGTAAGGGCAGGATGCCAGTGGCAAGGAATTGGCAAAAAACACACGTAATCACAACAAATGCAATTTCCTCATGAAATCTGGAGGTGTCAGCAAACGCTAACGGCACGCGAGTTCGTCAACACCGCAAACCGCAAAGTTGGCAACCTGTGGCCGATGGTCCATGTAGGTCATGCTTAGATAGCGCCACCTTTGGAACCCTGCACTCCAGAAAAATGAGGAAAACCAGGAAACAAAGCTTCCATTCTAAGCTTTTCGGGGAGAGCTTAACAGTAGCTCAATCACAGCGTTGCCTGGTACACACATACAGATTTGTAAGATATTCGATCTTCAAGTCCGTCTGAAATGAAAATCAAAGAAAAAGTGATTAAAAGGGCATAAATAGCAAAGAAGATTATAGGACAGGAATGCTGCGAGCTGCAAGTTCCCCGCGCGCTGCAGCGTACTGTAGAGCTGGAAAGGCTCCATAAACGCACACGCGCGATGGTGTAATTACACGAGTCGGGGCAGTCGTCAACGAATATCCTTTACTGAGAGTTATCCGCAGCGCTGATTTCGAAAATCAATCAACATTAGAAGGCGCGAAAACGGCGAGAACATGCGTTCCAAAGCTTTACAATGTGAGAATCGACGGTCCCCGCCACGCAGAGACGCAGAGTCCCTGCGGGACCCTACAATTTTGACTGTGGCGGCATGCGTACTCTGCCGCATGGCAAGGAATTCGCAAAAGTCGGAGAACCCGCCCCAAGCGTAAGTTTCCTCACTTTCTGGTTGTTATTCTTGCTTTAGATCGAGCGTTATGGCCTAAGACATACCTCTCGCGATTTCGGTCGCCGCGCGATTTGACACAACAGCGACTCCTCGTAATTTGTCGTCAATGCGCTGCCTTTGGTCAGAACTTGCTCTGTTTGCAACAGCTTACACAAGCTACCTAAATATACCTCCGAGAAGTGCGCATGACAAATTTATAGAAATCTGGCAAATTGCCAAGTCGCGTGAAAGTGGCGATTCGGCCGAATCGCGTGAGGTATGCCTTAGGCCTATGACGTCGCACTTGCGCGATATTGTGTCTGAGGGGGGCCACTTTCGCATGGCACTGAAATCCCAAACTCCCCAACTTGCCCGGACAGTGCCTTTAAAGCGAGGTAATTGCTACCAGCTGCATTGCAATATGGGCATTCTCTTTATAAATAAAGCGGAATGTCTGTTTGTATTGTGTCTGTCAGTCTGTGTGTATGTTCAGTTTAGAAATTTCCGTTTTTGCGATCCGAACAACTTGGCAGACATACACTTCGGGGCGGAGCGCGTGTCGTAGGCTACTTTTCGTCACTGGTCGATGCCGATTTTATCGATTTCTGCAAAGTTTGACCTACGAGGCTGGGAGCTGGCACAGGGGAGTACGTGAGCATGCTGATTACGAAATCATTATTGATAGAGCCGGGCAAAACCGGGTTTGCCACTCGTTAGTAATAAGATGCTTTCTAACTCGCATTATGGTGAAGGTGGCTCTTCGAGATTGTTTTACATTTAACATTTCTGAACTATCAACCACCTCTTTTAACAAAAAGCTTCAAGCATAAAGTTACCCGATAAAATGCCAAAAAACTACGAACAGGCAAATAGCTTTTTAGGATATATGTGTGTCTGTATGCCTGTCTGTATGTGCGAATTAGAAAAGTCATTTTGAATCGATCCGGACCGAACTTAGCGCACATAAATTCTGGCGCAACGTGTGGCAAGCTACTTTTCGCTATAAATTGTTACCGATTTAGTGATCAGCGAATTTTGGACTACAGCGCTGAGAGTTGTGGCACAGCGTGTAAGGAAGCATGCTGATTACGAATACAATATACGTTTCAGAATTGCTGGTTATCTTTGGTAATTTTATCGCTTTTGCAGATTTTGAGTTGAGACGTTGGAAGTTAGTACAGGGAGGGAGGGGGAAATTGAGTGAGCATGCCGTTACGAATATTAGCTGCTCCCTCAATTACCCGTTAGTTTCATTCACTTATCGATTTTCTGCAGACTTCGTGCTACGGGGCTGGAACTTGTCATGGAGAAAAGTGGTGGGGCCGTAAGAACTGCTGATTGCAGAAACACGAGAGAATTAGCGTTAAAAGTCGGATAAAAGCATAATCTATCGTGGTGCGTTGAGAAGGCAGAGCGAAGCCAACCAAGTAAGATATACTAGGTTGTTTCAAAAGTTCTGTCCGATTTGCGACTTTTTCATTTGAAATTTTATAACTTTTTTCAAAATTAACAATTTTGAACAAATCAAATTTTGTTCAATTGAGTTCGTTAATTAAGTTCGAGTTTATGGCTATCATAAGCACTGTATGCCATATGAGGAAGGCAAGCGAGAGAGAAGAGAAAATTCTTCGAATTCTGCAAGGTTCTTCAAAACCGTCCAGTTTGACTTACTAATGCTTCCATATGAGGATGAACAGACATATTTGGCTGCCATCATCGAGTAGCCTATGCTTTAGAGCTTTTGTGCGGCAAAAGAGAATTCGAGTTATCTTTGCTGCATAGAAGTTTTTGCGAGCAAATCAAAAAACCGCACTATTTGAGCCCTCCTCCGCGTGCGAAATATGCCGACTTTCTAACATTTATTAGGTTGTCCTGAAAGTTTTGTCGGTTTTTTCAAACCGCTATAAAACTAAGCACTATAAAGACCTGAATGAATTTCAACAAGCATTCGATGCAGCTTTTCCTTCTCTTTCTTACATTACATTTCCAAGCCACAACCCTGTATGCTTTTTTTGATAATTGTTACTGTTCTTCACCCGTCATTTTTATCTGCTCAGAGTTAGGCTAATTTTCAAAAATATCATTCCAAAGCTCCGGAGCTGATTGAGTATGGCGCAAATAGAACAATTCTCGGACTACAAGGTGGTGTTTTTAGATTCTCCTAAGCTGCTGTTTTTAGCTTCAAAAAATATTTCTTTGGAGGTCTCGATTTTGGCAAAGTCATGAAACACGCAATTGCAGCGAAAACAAGAAAGCTTTTAAAATTTCCGCGAATTAAAACTTGATTGCTGGTAAACAATAATTATGCAACATAACCAAGTTTAATTTGCTTTGAAAAATCAGCTTTTTGGAATTTTCGGTAACTTTACGTAATAAACGAATCAAAAAGCCATGGTTTTTCTTAAATAAATAATTATAACGGACTTGTTAAACGTGGCCCATGTGATCTAAAATAAGCACATTGTAGCCAAAGATTTGCTCTACATAACAGTTATTACCGCTCTTTGAAAACCTCAGGATGAAAATTTTTGAAATTCAGAAAGGATTTGGCGTTACTGCTGAACTGGTCAGAAAGCCATGGCGATAACATGGCGAGGACAGGGTAGATCAGAGAGCAAATATAGCATTAAGAAAGAGGATTAAAATCTGAATCAAATGATACCTAGATCGTCCATGGATGGTGTTCTGTGGGTTTTAGTCAGCGATGAAAAAAACCGACAAAACTTTCGGGACGACCTAATATTTTTTCTTGCTCGCAAACGAAGAAAGCCAATTAGCCGACGGTTCCTGCTTGTCCTCGCTTTGCTCTATCATATGAAATATTGAATGCATGACCTGTCGCTACATGTAGATTGTTGTCGCTTGTTGAATAACTGGGTTTGTCTTCCAATTTTCAAAAAAAAAGAAAAAGAAAAAGTAAGGCATCCTCTACGTCGGAGGAAAAGTGTGCTTATGCTTGCCCATTACACCCTCATCCATTATACACTATCACATATTTAGTGAGTACTGCGGAAGTTACCTTCATTGAATTTTTTTCTCAAGCATGACTGCATTTTGGCAACTTTGCTGTGGAGCTTGAAATTTCATTACTGGAAAGTTGATTCGCCAAGCATCGGTAAGCACTAGAAAGAGCAGGAAAAGTACCTCCAAAGGATGGTTACGACAATGCCATAAGTGTAAAACCCTAAGAAACTAGCTGCGTTAAAACAAGGCAATTGAAAATCGGACAGAACTTTTAGAGCAGCGTAGTACTTTTATAGCAAAACAATACTCTTATCCTCCCCTCCATTTCTTAGAAAGTCTAATCGGAAGCTAGGATATGAATGTTGAAAATATTGAATAGAGCAAATAGATAGGCTTGAGATCTTTTTTCAGAAAACAGCTGTTTTGACGGATGAGCGTGAAGCTGATGGGTTCTCTGAATTCGTATTGATCTGGCTTCCATTTTCCATCGTAAAACGGAGTGAGGAAAGATCTGGAAATGAGGGGAAAGTTGTGTCGCGGATTAAAGGTACCCGTTTGGGTCTTCGTCCCTGTTTTATGTGCTGCTCACAAGGGAGTAATCAGAAATCGAAGTGGCCAATTCAAACAAGTTGCATACCATCAGATGCAGCATGAAACGCTGACTTCGAACATGTATCCCATATAGCTGCGTGGCTCCTATGTGGTTGAAGTTACGACTGTTGAAGGCCGTTATTCAGCTAAGAAATCGTACATGCACAGCGCAAATTTGGCAGCACAGAGCCATGTTCGGCTCAAAGGCAGTGCCTTGACAGAATGTCGTTTAGTTTTTCACCTTTTCAGAGCATTCTCTTTAAAGGAATCCAAATCCATATCTGGGCTTTTCAGCGCATAAACATGGCGCAAATGAGTTTTTTCGAAGCTTTCCAGGTCCACATTCAGTGAAGATACGCCAAAAATCTTCCGCGCTTCGCCTCCGTCGTTCCGGCCCCGCTCACTTGCACGTATTCTCAATGCACACCTGGAGAGCTTCGAAAGAAGCTCATTTTTGCCATTTTCATGCGCTGAAAAGCCCAGATATGGCTTCCTTATGGCCATAAAGCTTCGAAAAGGTGAAAATCTGGAAAACGAAATTCTGCCGAGTCTTCAGTGCTGGACCACAACATGCAGCTAGCTTACTTTATATTCTCAAAGCTTACAGTTGAGCTGAAAGTGCAACAATGTGCTCAATTCGCAACTTTTATGTACGATTTTTTCGTAATAAAACTGCTCATAACTCCGTCTACAAAGGCGCTGTGCAGATACTGAGTACAGGATCAAGATCAGCGTTGAGTGGTGCATCGAATATTAGGCAGGTTTCTTGGATTGGCTACTTCGACTTCTGAACATTCATATGTGAATAACCAACGACTGAAATGTCAAGTTTGGCGTTAGGTATGATGATGTCTGTCTAATCTATTGTAAGCCCATTTTTCACTCTGACGGAAAACTTTCTCCACGCTTGTCTTGGAAGATATCCGTCGTTTGGTGATGACACATGATATATTATATCAGCAGCGAAGAACTTGGAGTTGTCCATGTATCTCTTGAAAAACTGTAACATGGTTTCAGTCTTTTATTGCAAGCATAGGTGTTGCGCGAATTCCTCCGTAGTCCCTATTAGTGACAGTGGAATTTACGAGACCTGCTCACGCTTAAGTTGTACAGGTTAATCATTATGCCTCACTTAGCTAGGTCGATCAAAACCGCTGTTTTACGATGGATGTGAAATTAATGCGGAAAGAAAGTATTTGAATGTCCATGTACACCTATTACTACCGGCAAAAGCTAATCAACAATGATTTTCAATTTACAGAAAAAAAATGTAAGCGAGTAGATCAAATCCTAGTCTTAAAATAATCATAGTTATTAGGTTGATGCAAGAATAATGGCCGATTTTCCAAGCTTTTTTTCAGGACTGTTTCCCATCAAGAGTTTCTTTTTTGAAACATTAGCCTACCATTGAAAAGCTGTTTACATGCTCTACCTAATGGTAGTCGAAGCTGACTTCCAGTCTCTGTTATTACTAAGCTTCAATTAACCGCACCCAAATTCAGAATTTTATTGCGTTCACTTTTCTGGCCAGATTTCGAGCGGGTATGAATGGCCCTTCTTCGAAAATTTAGCTATTGTATGTAATAGAAATTCTCTGCACATTATGCATACGTTTCTTGAAGTTATTCAAACTGAGATATCGGCGGCCTCAACATTGGTAGCCGTTGCGGTCATTTTATAACCCACGCCAAAGCTTTACTCAACTCTGTAAGCGTAATGCTAGGGCATCCTATAATAGTTTTTACAAAAAAATCCAACTGTTCAGTAGGCAGAAAATCGGAAAATTCTATATTTAGGACCTTCAGGCATACCGAAAAAATGTTGAAAACTGAGAACTTTGAATTTTAGTTTTTTCCTTTTCGCAGTTTTCATTCTCCAAACCCTCTTCATCGTGTTTTGTTCTTTTGGCTTGCAATAGAAGATAGCCCACTTATCAATCATACTAACAAACACTGAAGGAAGATATGAGGTGCCGAAATCAAGGTTTTTTAGAAGGAAGTTTTTTTTGTTTGTTAATTCATATTTTTTTGCCTGTTAGTGATGTGAGTACAAATAAACCTGCGCTACATTGCAGAAGGTTTGCTGCTTCTGATGGTATCTAACGCATTCAGAGATGTGGATTTTTCAAAAATTATAGCATGTCAAAGCGAGAATTCGCAAAACGGCCATTATTTTGCGTCAACCTATAGATGTAATAGTTTATTACACTCAATGCCACAATTACGGTATTCTAACAATGAGCTGTGTAAATTGCCACTCTGCATCAAAAATGCATAGAACTCTCTCAGATGTGACCGAATAGTAGAGACCCTTCGGGAGGGAGGGGGGAATTAGCAAAAATTGAAGTTTTTAGTTGAATTAGCTGAATTAAACCTGTCGTTTCTCTTGGATTATAAATAAAAGTTTTCGAAATGCCAGAGGCATCACAAAATTTAGGAAGCGCTCTTACCCTGCAAATAAAACTGACCTATGACAACTTGAGACAAAGATCCGTACCACCATTGGGATGCAAACACAAAGTCGAAACAAAACGTTGCCAATGACATTGATCTCGAACAAATTTAAAATTGATGGTAAGCCTTTCTCAGGGAGCGGCAGCGTTGTCTAAACGGTGAAAAAAATGTTAATGTGACACAGTCAGGTCCGACTCACATTACACTTGAAATACGAAGTTCCGTATTTGTGGAAAAACGTCCGCTTCAATTCCAACTCCGTTGGTATGTAATCTGTGTATAATGAGCCGCATATAGCTGCTGAAATACCAACGTATTTAGATACTCGTTGAGGGGAGATGTAGAAAGAAATACCGATAAATAAGGTAATGGAAAAGACAGCTGTAGCTATTCCTGGCCAGATAACGGGGAAGTTGAAATAGGACTGATCTTCGTTGTTGTCATCGACAAAGCCTTCTTTCAATGTCTTGTTTTCTTGCTTTGACCTTGGAACCTAAATGCAGTAAATTTGGCTGCATGCGTATATAGTCAAATCATTTCATAAGATCATATATGTCATTGCACACACTGTCCACATTTGCCGTACCAATCCTGGATTCTTGGAGGATATAACCTTTTCAGTGTTTTTGATGTGTTTTCAACGTTCTCTTTCCTTTTGGATACTAACAACTCAAAATGATGTAAGCGATACCAATTGGTCGTTTCTTGCTTTTTTTGCGATTGCGAACACAGGATGAGGAGCCAAAGTTGGACGGCGTGTGCGGCGCCATGAGCCGAGTAAACCTGCCCAACTATGAAGAAAGATTGAAAACTCTGTTGTTGCACACTCTGTTATTCAGAAGAGTTTGCAATAATTTGACATTTGCTTTTCGCATATTGAAAAAGGAAACCAATTTGAGCGCCAGTAAGTACTGGAGGTTCCGGCCATGCTCATCTAGAAGAGCTGCCTTCAACCTAGTTCATGGAAAGATATTTAGAAAACACCATTCACTAGTTTTCGATTCTTTTTTCTGCCGGACCGCCAGATGGCTTGATCTCTTGCCATACGAGGTTTTCAATTCAGCCGATAGCAAGACTTTTAGATGCATACTGCAAAAATTATTGCAGCTTGATTGCTCAAGAGTAAACGGCTAAAGGCTGTTGGCTTCGAAGCATTGAGTCATGAATCGTTTTCAGCCATGCCCGGATCCTCAAGATCAGCGACCTTATAGTCATTTGTCTTGAATAGCTAGGCCCTACGTCTTTAGTTTAGGTGATCTGGAACATGTTGGCATACAATGGATGTTCTTCTAACCTAGTCTATCTAGTATTCATGGTTCGACTGACAGTTTTGCTGGGTTTCGGCTGGGTGGTTTTGACAACTAATGATTGCTACAGTATGAAGCAATCGCCTTCTGCTGTGTTGGACTTTCTTTTTGTCTAGTAAAGTTTGATCATGGCTAGACTAACCCATTGTTGCTTGTTTGAAATAACACAAGCTTTGTTTGTTTCTATTTCGTCTATGTCTGTACTTGATCGAACAATCGATCTGATGCTGGTGTTTGATCATGTTTATACCTTGTCCACACGTTGGGTTGAGTCCGGTGCACCTCTTCTGTTTTTACCGGAGAATAGCTTGTTGGCTCGATCAACTTTTTGCACTATGCAGTTTTTTCTTCGCTATCGGAGTTCTGCTCCTCCCCAGAAACTGGTTGTACGGGATCTTCATATATATACCGCTTCCCCTATTTTCCAGTTTGCTCAAACTGAATAGCAAAGATCGCCTTTCCGGGCAAGCAGGGGCATGGGAAAGACTCCAATGAGTCTTTACTCCATTATTTTCGAGTGATTACTTCATACATAGCCTATACAAGCTTAATTCCCTATTTCCTTCTAAACTATTTGGTGACTGGACTTGAGCTAACTTATTGGATGTTTTTTGTTTTGTTCTTTGTATTTGTTCCTGGTTATGTTTGATCATGTTTATACCTTGTTCACACGTTGGGTTGAGTCCGGTGTAGTCCGGTGTATCTGTTCTGGTTATGGCACGCCTTGTGCGTATACATAAACATAAACATAAACACAAACGCCAGCTGTGCGTCCGACGACTCGGGTAGGTATAGTATGGACCCCAGTCAGCTTCCCATATGTATCTCCGCGCCGCGCACGCAGCGCATGCCTTCAGTGCGCTTCTCGTCCCAGCCTCTAGTGGCTTTTATGCGTTTTCCTCTCTTTACTAATGTTCCGTCTCTAATATCTTTAGTTTAGATTTAAAGGGCCCACGACAGCTGATGATGATAAGTTTTCACGAGCCGCAGAAGTGTTGAGAGCTTTTGTCTCAGCAAATACTCGTTTTTTTCCTCGGTAGTGAACATTGATTGTATTCTAGGGGGATTTCTCTTCAAACGTTTCTATCACGGACTTAGCGTGTCTATCCAATTAACTTCGTTTTGTGCCGATGCTTTTAGTTTCTTTTCGATCCGGCATTGAACCTCCTGCTTATACAATTACGCTCTCGAGCTTGCACTTCTCAGGTTCTTTATGATTACAGAAAGAAAACGTTTGAAAAGTGATCCTCTCTTTGTCTTCTATAGTTTTCACCCATCACTGGTGTATCATACTAGTATTCATGAGGCTAACTGGGAACTAAGTGACAGTGGAAGTTGTGGAAGCGTTCTTTTCCGCTTAGGCTCTTTTCTAGCTAAGGTTATAGGGTTCCACTTCTTACTTCACTCCTATGTTCATGTAAGAATGCTTTTTCTTTATAAGTGGGATGAGAAGCGTCAACAGGGCGCGCGCGTGCGCGGAGCGGATGTACATATGGGAAGCTGGCCGGGGTCCACACTATACCAGACTTATCCTTTTAAACAGGTTCATTCGTTTCACTGCTTTTGCTGTTGGACAGTGTAGTGATTTGACCTATGAGCCGAACGAACCGGCTGAAGCGGATAAGTCTGGCACCTGCCTTAGTGACATCGGACGTGCGAGGCGCAATGGCCGTGCTCACGTCCGACTCTCGCGATCCTGTAGGCCTCTACACATCCTAGATATCTTTCTTCTTCTTTCTCCATCTGACTTATGAAGGTTCCCTCACATCTGAGTGTAATGGATGCCAGTTTACTTGCATACAAGATGATTTTCACTATTTCGTGTGTGAATTTTTTAATAATCCTTAGCTTGCGAGCAGTGGTTCATGGAAAATTTCGATATCCTGAGATTTCAGTGATTTCTACTATGAACACGTTTAGCTGTGCCAGTATCCTCAGCACAGTTTTACAACGTTTTCACTGAGTTTATAGAAAGATAAATGACTTTCCCTGGGGATTCTCAGGGATCACACAAAATAGTGAAAATCTATTGTATGACAGTACCCTGGCAAACATTATGTAGGTATCAGGGTGTGAGAACCTTCAAAACCTAGATAAGGAATGAAGAAGAAAGATATCTAAAGTAGAGAGATATGTCGCATCCCCTCTCAGATCCCCTCTCCTCCCCGCGGGGATGTACCCGCACAGGGACCTTAGTGCCCGATAGTCTCAAGCATTCTTACCGTTTTGAACAACTCACCCTAACTCTGAACACCTCTGGAGATGATTCGGATGACGTTGAGGCGCAGGCATTCATGTGCTCACCTGCAAAAAATTTTTAAAATAAAAAAACACGATGGTATAGTCAAAGTAAGAGGAACGAGATCGAGATAATGAACTCTGAGACAATAATGGAATTTTCGTATACAAATGCTAAAGCAGAGGAAGCGTTTAGAAGGCGCGCGGATTGCGCGGCTGTCAATAGTATAAGAAGTGAAAAAGTTAAACTTTTTTCCAAATCTCTTACATTTTCGAGGTTTTGAAATCTATATGATCTTTCGCTACATCTGCTGACATATGGACAGAAAGTGAAAGAGCTTAAAGATCTTGCTTTTTTGGACTAATCCCATCTAGCAACGATGTTTGCAGGAAAACTTATTCGTAAATATTTTCATTAGTTTGATAGTGGAAGAGAATATTAGACTGAGGCAAATGTAATGCGCTTACTTTGACTAATTGTCTAAGATTAGATTGAATTTGATAAAATTGGAGTGAAAATGTCTCTAAAGTGATTCTATACCACAATTAAAGTATCTCTCAAAGATTTTGTGACATTAAATATTATTAGTATAAATAGTAATAAGGTCTAGAGGAATAACCTACGCTGATTTGAGAACCACATGCAGCGCATTTGATGCTTTTATAGGTGGATTTTTTCATCTCATTGCAAATTTTATCTGACAGAAAAATTTTTAAATCCCCGATCACATGTCAGGCCATATCTTCTAAGGATAAGACCATATGCATGCCGCATTCCCGACATTTCAAGGTCATAAAGTAGTGAGGTGACAAGAAACGTTATTGTAGTGATTTCTGCTTGCTGTAAAACAAGTTTGACCAGAAAATTCTTGCATGCCATAAAAATGAATAGAAAAGATGACTTTTTCGTCCATCTCCTATTGTTTGTCTTCAGAAAATCGTCACGATCTCATTTCTGCAAAGTGTCATGGTACCAGCTATATAAAAAGAACTCCCCCACATATAGCTGTTCCATAGAAGAAGGTTTGACGAATTCTTTAGCATTTCTCGCACAAAAAAGGGCTTTTCCTGACTCGAATTTTCCGGAAACTTTGATGTGATACTTGCACTGGCCAAAATCTTGAAGAAAAAATGGTTTGCGACTATCTGATAGATCATCGCAACAATTTCAAAGTTCATACTCGAGAAATTATTAAGAAATGCCTAAAGGCAGTAAGATAAGCATTGTTATTCATGTGAAACAGAAAGTGAATGCGACAAGCAAGTTGAGATTTAAGACTTGAGTATTTTCGCTCACGTAATGTTTGGAATTAACTTGAACAATTTGTCCTTTAATCGGGAATAAAGATAGACCAAATTTTCACAATTTTCCTTTCATCATCAGTGTGCGATAGCGAAATGCTTGATTAACAAGATTAGGAGTTTTTAAAATTCAAAAATTCCTTAAATTGTCTTGATGAATGCGTACTAGCAAAGAGTGATCCTTCAGATGAAATTGAAAGTGAAGTTAAGCTTCCGAAGACTGAAAAAGCTTGCAAAGACCGGAAAAGAAGTTGCTATCTTCATCGAGACAGACAGCAAAGTTCACTTGAAAATCGCCGCAATCGCGACATCTCTCCCACTCCGCAACGGAATTTGTGCTGATTGACGGCCTTTTGGATCTTTGGTTTACTATGGATGTACACCGTTGCCATCTCTCTTTCGTGGATATAGCTTAAACCAGATTCTACGCAAAAAGTTTCAGTATGTCGTAAACATCGATATACCGTTCCACTCTGACTTTACATCAAATGTTAGTCACATGGTTTCACATTTGAGGTGATAAAATAGGTAAAGTAGAAAAAAAATCATTCGTTATTTTACTATCCGATAAACCCGGAGTGTATCAAATTCTTACAGGACAACTAAAGGTAAATTTGTCTTAATTTCTTCACAAAAAAGAGCAGTTCAACCAGAAGCGTCGTTTTTTTTCATTGTAATAAATAGTAAGGACATCGAGGTGCAGGGAACTTGTAAAACGTACAAATATAATTTGTAAGAGCAAATATGTAGTTCATTATGATGCAGAACAAATACCCTAATTTCCGGGGTATAAGGCGCAGTAGCTTTCACCGCGTGCGGAGTGTTGCATGATGACGCTCGCGATGCGCGGCGCCGCAGCAACCTCTTTTACCCAGCAGTAGCTTTTTGCTCCCGTTTTTTGCTGTTTTCCTCTCAGTGCGATTTGTCTTAAAACAAAACTCTACCTTCTCTTTTATTCTTCAAGAATGAGAAGAATAAAACGCAGCATTTTCAAAATACCAGTAGTATCACTGCAAAGGAAAGCCAGTTTCAGTACCAGGAGCACTACTGGAAACGAAGATTAGAAACAAAAGAAAGAATCATCTAAACATCAAAAACACCGTTAAGAACGCCTTTCTCTCACCTGTAGAAACGTTTTCAAACTTTACATACATTCTGAGAAGAGTAAAAAATATTTTCTGAGAAAAGTAAAAAAAGTACCTGGAAGTATGGTTTATGGGCAGCGAAGAATAAAGGATATTCGTTGACGACTGCCCCGACTCGTGTAATTACACCATCGCGCGTGTGCGTTTATGGAGCCTTTCCAGCTCTACAGTACGCTGCAGCGCGCGGGGAACTTGCAGCTCGCAGCATTCCTGTCCTATAATCTTCTTTGCTATTTATGCCCTTTTAATCACTTTTTCTTTGATTTTCATTTCAGACGGACTTGAAGATCGAATATCTTACAAATCTGTATGTGTGTACCAGGCAACGCTGTGATTGAGCTACTGTTAAGCTCTCCCCGAAAAGCTTAGAATGGAAGCTTTGTTTCCTGGTTTTCCTCATTTTTCTGGAGTGCAGGGTTCCAAAGGTGGCGCTATCTAAGCATGACCTACATGGACCATCGGCCACAGGTTGCCAACTTTGCGGTTTGCGGTGTTGACGAACTCGCGTGCCGTTAGCGTTTGCTGACACCTCCAGATTTCATGAGGAAATTGCATTTGTTGTGATTACGTGTGTTTTTTGCCAATTCCTTGCCACTGGCATCCTGCCCTTACCGTCAACAATCGCAAACCTGGCAACAGTTCTCGGCAACCTATGGCCGATCTTTTGGTGATAACTTTGTCGAATTCCATTCTGGTCAGGTGAATGCAGCCCGACAATTTCCATCTAACGTAACTTGACCTAAGAATATTCCACAATGTCGGGCTCGTCACTTAACCAGACTTAAAAGATTCAACAAACAGCACAACAACATAGAACGAAACCGGTAAGTTAGCACTGGTCATATTAAGAGGACGTATCCCATGAGAAAAGGATAAGAATAGCAAAAAAGAATGTAGAATCTCGTTGATCAAATGTTCGAGTTTGCGAGGGCAATCCGAGCGGCTCTGCGTGTGTGGCGGAGACATCCATGCATAGCTGCCACGGACACATACTCTAGAACTTGTAGGATATATTCAACGGTCGAACGAGCTTGAAATAATAGAGGAATAGGCGCCTGAAACGAATTTCACGAAGAAAAAGAAATGAGAAACGCTTAAATAACAGAGAAGGTTATAGGGCAGAAATGCTGCGAGCTGCAAGTTCCCCGCGCGCTGCAGCGTACTGTAGAGCTGGAAAGGATCCAAAGACGCACACGCCCAATGGTGTGATTACACTAGTCGGGGCAGTCGTCGACGAACATCCTTTACCGCAGCACACTGAGTTTTCAGCTTTCTAGATTTAGAGAGCAATCATTTGAAAAGCGTTTTCGCGCTATTGTTCGCTGCGGCGGGTGCGCCTTATACAAGGTGCGCTTTATACCCCGGAAATTAGGGTATTAGGATTTTTACATAGTATCCGGGAATATTTTCTAGAATCAGGAGAGGTTGTCAATAAGAGTTCACAAAAGAGTAGCTTAAGTTTTCAGATATGTTACATAAAATATCCGAAGGGATATCTAAACTGTCTGCATTACTCTATCGAGCTCCACATCAAAATACTTCCGAGTAAAAAAGTAGTTTGTTTCCAATAGCTAAGCACATTGCATCCACGACTGCAAAATCACAAACAAATGAAATTCAGACTAGTGATGTATGTAGTTAGAGGATGTTCCAAGATTTCTGATTGAAAAAAACTCACTGTAATTTCTGCACAATATATTAGGTCAGTCCGAAAGTTCTTTCCTTTTTTACAGCCTTCATAAAAACGCGTGAAATAAAGGTAGGCAAATGGAAACGTTTGGAAATAAAGAGAAATCTAACGGTCAAAAGCATCGTCGAAAAATTGGCGCCAGTGAAGAAAAAGGTGGAATTTCGCGACTGGAATGGGTCGCGAAATTTTTGAAAGTCACTTACATGGGTTACAAAAAATTGCAAATGACTTGTTTATGCTTAAATAATTAAAATAATTGTAAAAATCTTTTAAAAAATAATTGCTTTACAAAATCAGAATGCGTGGCTAGCGCCGCACTCTAATCAGAAAAAACTTTTTGTCCCAGCACCCCCCCCCCCCGGAACGGAAACTCTGGGTACGCCACTAGCAGTAGGGGTTTTGTGTTCACAAAAGGTAGCATTTGGTGAGAAACAGAACGATAAGAGTGGAAGCAATAGAGCATCGACATATAGCAAGAAGATTTAAACTCGCTAGCTGTAAAGAATGCTGCCAAAAATAAATAATAATGTGAATTACCATCAAAAATAGGTGGCTTTGATAAGATCAGATAGTATATCCACCATCAAACTTGGTCAGGTCAGATATCACTGACATAGCGAAGAAGGGAATTTTCTTATGAGCGTAAAATTTTACAACGTACAACAGCAAGAATTCTGTTTCAGGAATAGATTTAACAGTTCTAAGCAGAAATTTCCATCACCTTCATGAAAAATACGGTAAATTGAATTTGACAGCGCATAAAGCGGCACACACCGGAACCAAGGGCTCTTGTCCTACAGCCACCGAACATAGCCCGTCTATCAATGGGCCCTAGACGAGAAGTCCTCGAGACCACTTCACCAAAAGAAGACAATGCAGCTAAAACGCTGCTGCATTATGCGTGCAACGTTCTTTCCATGGGGCAAGCCTCCGTATTCTGGATCACGGAAACCATAAATTAGAAATTTCACAGAAAGCGGCTAATGCTATGAAATAGCTGTAATAAACCCTTCAAGCACAGCTCTTTGTAATCAGCGCAGCATTCATATAGCTTTCCATTGCAAGCTTTATGTCTTGAGACGTTTCTCCTGCAGTCATTTCCTCTTTGCTTAATTAGCTTCAGAATAGCAAGACTCTGAAGCAAAAGGTTTTGCTTCCACTTGCCCTAGGTTAAGGAAAAATCTTTGCACATATCTGTTTGCAAAGATGTTGGGACCAAATTGAAAAAAGTTTAGAAAAAATTTGAGTGGAAAGCGGCTTAGTCTTTTTCTTCAGCCAAGTGACACCCATTAAGGCCTCGGGCATAGCTCACGCGATTTCAGTCACCACGCGATTTGGCAATACTCCAAACGTGCATAACTCATCGTACGGGGCTTCCGAATGTACGGAAGATGGGGCATTTTATCAACCTACGAAAGTTATACATGCTGTACATTTGGGGTCTACCAGTATTGAATTTGAAAACATCTGGCAAATTGCCAGATCGCGTGGCGACTGAAATCGCGTGAGGTACGTCCCTTGCCTAAGTGTTAATGGAATTTTTTCAACAGAGTTGCGAAGCTAGGCTTACATGTGAAGAAACAAAGAAACATAAATAGTTCCAAGTGACTTTTATTATAGAACAGTAGATATTAGGTCTGTGGTTTGGCAAAATCTCAACAAGATGAGGGATGAAACTAAAAATTTAATGTCTGTACTACTGAAGGTAGAAAAAGTCTACGGAACATTGGTGAGCGTGAGGACGAAGCTCAGAGTCAACTCAAACTAGGAAGTCTAGTGAGGTTCAGTCGAGCGTCATTTTTAGCTTGATTTTTTTAATGGATTGAAGGTAGTCATGTCATTGTTCTAGTGGAAAAAATGCAATAGAAAGGGATAAGCAAAGATAGAACACTATTCATAATTACTCATAACTGTTCACAACATTGAACTGTGAATGGACGCAATATAATCGTTGTATCTATTAAATTTCTAGAATCCGGTAGTCACAGCGTCTTAACATTCTAGGGTATTCTCTAACTTTGTTGTGAGCATTTCAAAAAAAAACACAAAAAAATTCAAATGCAAAAATTCTAATTTCCTCTCCGACCTGAACACTAGATGGAAATCACAGGGAAAGTAGTAAGGCTTTCTCTTCCCATGAAACAAAACACTTCAAGTCCGCTTGTCCTATTTTTTGTATTTAGGAAACAATTTGATAAGAGTTATATGGATTTTAATTTTATTCCTAAGCTAAACGTCGTTGTTCGTTTCATAGTGGCACTGATGGATGTGTTGGCAATTGATCAAATTCTTGCGTAAATTGTTAATAGTACCGTAAGATTGAGACCTCAGATGATATGCCTGTCAACATGAGTAAGTGAACGAACAGAAACATTAGGTTAGTCCATAAATCTTGCACCGAATATTTGAAAATTTCAAAAAAACATGAAGGATTCAGCTCTTCCATACCCTCTGCGGGCATGCGCCGAACGCACTCTACTTCATAGTCGAAGAGGCAATTCTATGCGTACGGGATTCAAAGTGAGTAATGAACCAGTAAACTGAGGGTGCTTTGCAGGAGCGTTCGCTTCGGGACCCACCGCGGTTTCCCGCTATCTGATGTTTTTTTGAATGGCGTTGCGATTCTTTATATTAGGTTGGTGCAAAAGTTCTTGCGCACGATTTTCAAAAATTCATAACTTCCGATTTTTTCAACTAATTTGGCCGCTTTTATCTTTGTATGAAAGAGTAACTCATGCTCTTCATAATGGCATCTTAGCTGCTTGCTAATGATCACCTGTTTCATAGATACGAGCGATAGAAGAAAATTGGTCAAAATTTGAATTTTCTGTGTAGGGTCATAAAAAAACGGAAACTTGCAAGAAAAATCGGAGCAGTCAGTATTGTAGGTTCTTGTACCAGCCCTTTTTAATGGTGCAAAGTTTGCGTCGATTGAGCCTCTCTATCAAAAGTTATGATTTTCGAGCAAGCAATACAGAAGGGCGATTTTGAATTATTTTGGCATTTTTTAGGAAAATCATAACTTTTGGTAGAGACACTCAATCGACGCAAACTTTGCACCATTAGAAAGAGCTGGTAAAAGGACCTACAATACTGACTGCTCCGATTTTTCTTGCAAGTTTCCGATTTTTTATGACCCTACACAGAAAATTCAAATTTTGACCAATTTTCTTCTATCGCTCGTATCTATGAAACAGATGATCACTAGCAAGCAGCTAAGACGCCATTATGAAGAGCATGAGTTACTCTTTCATACAAAAATAAAAGCGGCCAAATTGGTTGAAAAAATCGGAAGTTAAGAATTTTTGAAAATCGTGCGCAAGAACTTTTGCACCAACCTAATATTAGGTTGATTCATAATTAATGCACGTTTTGAATTTCAACCGCAATAAGTCATACACTTTTCATTCTTACATAGGCTTCAAATTACCATTGGATAGAGCAAAGCAAGCTCTACAAGATGGCACTCATATCGTTGCGCCAAGCTCAATCCACGGAGAGTTCGAACTCAAAATCTAAAGATTTCCAAATGCCCAAAAAATCGAAAAAAATCAGATCTTCGTCCAAATAATTTCTACGGACCTCCCACTCGCTCACATCAATACTATCGATATCTGATATCCATATGTGCGATTGGCGTATTTTTTCCTTGACTAGAAACTGAGAAAACGAAAATTTCCCTGATTTTCTCAAAGCAATGCTGAGCCGTTTGTGCATATGTAGTTTTATACTACAAGCCTAGGTAAGCACAACTGTAGTTTTTCAGCATATTTCGAGCGGTATTTTTCGAGAAATGTCGATTTTAGCACTGAAACTGAAACGAAAAAATCCGAATTCGTTATTTTTCGAAAACTACCGCTTGGAATGGGCTGAAAATCTACAGTTATACTTACCTAGGCTTGTAGTATAGAACTACATATGCAAAAACGGCTCAGCATTGCTTTGAGAAAATCAGGGAAATTTTCGTTATCTCAGTTTCTAGTCAAGGGAAAAATACGGC